CATGGCACAGTGGATTTACATCTGATTCTAGATACAGGGCACTATGAACCAGCATCCGGAGTAAAACAGGGGAGTGTCTCATGATGAGCAGGAGAAGCATGAATTATGAGGACTGATGACAGGAATTAACTGAAGCAGGAAAAGGATTCCCAACAATAAAATGATTTAAAAGGCAACTGGAATTCCAGCCTAAGGTTATGATCCTTCCAAAATGAAGTCCCATTTTTCTCATGTGAGATAGTTAAACACATGGGTTTAAATGGGTTTAACTGCCTCACTGAAAGCAATGGGGACTCAGAAATGCCTAACTTGGCACAGCTGCATTACTTCTATAAAATATTCTGCAAAACATTTCCCTCTCCTAAAATTGAGAGCAAATTGAATTGTACTTTCCTTATAGGCCTGAAAATGTTCTTTGATTTCTTGCTGAGCTTGCCCTGAATGTTTGCTTTTGGTTCCCAAGATATTAATCTTCTATTATGCTTACATCACTTAACATTGTCTAATCAACTGTTTTACTTATTTCCTTATAATAGAATTCACCTCAAGTAACCAGTTCAGGAATGTTTGGTTATGAACAAGGTTCTTGCTTCTTAGTAGCCACACTGTTCACAAAAATAAGTGTACTTCCTTATTCTCTGGGAGAAAGGGATTTAAGAATAATCACACACTGCCGTTTGCCTTTTAGATTACCTGATTAAAAATCTTTGTTGTTGTGCAATGAGCTAGAAGTTCATGAAAGTCCACAATCACTTATGAACTCTTGATAACTTTGGGTTTGTAGGTTCTCCACTCCTATCTTTTCTCATTCAAGTACTGTATGTGCAGACCACATTCCCATACAGCCTTCTCCAAGCGGTTCACAACAAAGCATTATGAAAAAAACACACAGTCCTATTAGCGATGTACAATTTTTCTTTGATTCCATGTATGTTTCACAGATTGTCAGGGGTCTTTTTTCTGTCATCTGATCATTAACGAAACTGGATTTTCTCCACTTCAGAAATTTACACAAAATTGTCTTACAATTTGTGTACCTTCTTCTGGTACCCAATATTTTCCATATGCTAGCACTTAGCAGCAGAGGATAGAGAGAGATTAGAGATGCATAAAATGTTGGGGATGTCAAAAAATGAAGCATTCATATTAGCATATTTTTCACTGAATTTTGTATGACTAAATTTGTGTACAATTGTGAATAGTTTTTAAAAAATGGTTTGCAGGTCCATGCAACTCAGTTGATGTCAGTCTGCTGCAAAATTCCATAGGTAAATGCATAGAAATCTGAAGTTTTAAAAAAAATTCTTTCACATTCCTAATTCCTATACACATTAAAGAAAATAATAAAATGTGTAACATGCATATAGTATAATATAAATATCAAAACGAATGATTAATAATCTCATTATTAAAAACGGAAACCCCTCTGGTGTTTCTAGACAGATTATTAGTCATCTATGGGTTTTACAAGAGTTTCAGAGGGAAGGAGTTCCAGTTGTCAATTCCAGATGTTTGTAGGAACAGGATGAAACAGGGTGATGGCGAGTGGGTAGCAGAACTCTCTTTGGGCAATGATCCAAATTAGAAAGACAATATGGTTTCCTAGGGTACAAAAATGGCTGCCTGCTGGTCCATTCATGCCACTGGTCCATCCAGCTCAAGATTATCTACACTGACTGGAAGCAGGCTTTCCAGAGTTTAGAGAGGTTTGTTTCACAAACCAGGGTCTGAACCTGCATGCAATCTGCCATGTGTTCTGGCAGATTACAACTGAGCCGTGGCCCCACTCCTCCTTGTAGCTACTGGCAGAGGAATATCCACTCTTGAGTCACACAGGAAAGGCTGTCACCACTTCCCTGCTCTACCGTCGTCATGTAGCCATCTATTTCCACCAGCAGATTGAAGGAATAACCTACTGTCTTCGGTGTTTATGTAGAGTAATTTGCGCACTTTTGTTCACTGTTTTGTATATGGTATGAGGTCTGCAGTTACAGAAGGACAGAAATCCATCCACTTTACATAAACAGAGGAACAACTGCTAAAATCCAGTTCATTATTGATGCTGCCTACGTTTAAGCGGTTTCCCCCCCAACAGTAGTTACACCCATAAAGCAGAATATAACCTGACCTCAGATTCATGTGTTTGAGTCTATAATAGCTTAGCTCCAGGGCTTTTTTTGTCATAGAACATACCGGAACAGCGTTCCCGCACCTTTTTTTTCAATGGATTTTAGGAAGTGATTTTAGCAGATCAGCAGCAAACATCATTAACATAGTGCCTGCAGGCTGCTATTGTGTCTGCTGCTATCTGATAGTGAGAGATAGCTGCTTGGGATGCTGCTCCGCTGCTGCTCGGCTTGGGATTGGTGTGTGTGCTTACTGCCGGCAGCAACATCAGTTCGTCCGGCACCTTTTTTTTTTTAAACAAAAAATGCACTGCTTAGCTCCATTTGTCATTACAGATGGGGCACTTTCATAATAACACACTTCACAAAGATCTCTGCTTATCATGTCAGGTGTAGTCTTAATGCCTACTGGAGTAGAACGATAGCCCAGTGGTAAAACTATGCTAGGTCCAAGGTCCAATCTCTAGTCTCTCACAGGCTGGGAAAGATCCTCTGAATTCTTGGAGATTTTTTGCAGCTAAGGTCCAACTAATACAGCATTTGTCATATATTTTGTTCTTACACGGTTGATTTTTCTTCAATAAACAGCCATCTGTTGGCAGGAGAGACATACTGGGACCATGGAGGGGGCTGTAACTGAGTTTCCTGCCACAGTCCTAACTGGAACCAGGCCCACCCATTTGCAATGGGAAAGAATTCTGTTTGTCACCATAGAGGAGCAAAATTTTGGTCCCTAACACTTAAAATCATAAATACAATGATTTAACAGGATAAATAAAAATGTTTAAATGTCAATATATAAGCAAAGCAAAAGCAAGATCTAAATATATAATGGAGTAAGATTTATTTTTCTTTGTTTAACTAACCCACATGGTGCACAAACATACAAAATGAAGTCTTTGTTGTTGAGAGGGACTGTTCTTATTTAAAAGCACACCTAATCATGTTGTTGAAGATATTACAATCATCTCGTGGACCTGCTTTCTCTGTACTTCTCTCCCTCCCCAAAATTTCCAGGAACATATTTTTACACCTCAGGTAGGCAGTGGCTCATGTCCATCAGGGTCAGGTCGAATGAGTAAAATAATTTAAGTGCTATTTTCCAAACTGTATTTTCCTAAAAACCTATCTTTGTTCATTTCTTCTTTTGTGTCCTGCCATATCCATCAGATATGTTCATAACTCTACTTTAACTCTGATCTACTGGTGGAAGTGCAAAACTCACAAATCCAGTGGTAGTTCAATGGTTGATAACACAAACTGATTAAATTTGGCATCTTGCACAGCCTTTTCAAACCTAGTCCTGCTGTCTGAGAATTATGGGAAATGTAGTCCAACACATCAGGATGGTGGGCATTATAAAAATTCCCTATTATGGAATTTGAACATGCAGGTGAATTATATCCAAACAGCTAAGGCATTTTTGGATTTTCAGATCAGATCATGAACTGCAATTATTTGTAAAAGAAAAGTACTGTAACAGTTGATTCAGCAGAAGATAACAACTTAAACACACGATGAAATAGTAAGGCAAATGTAATCTAATCTCTACTTTCAAAGGTTACACAACCAAGCTCCCATAACTGAAACAGTTTTTTGGACTGTTGAGAAAAAAAAGATTCACTTGTGCCTCTCAACACATAATCATTAAACTGATTTAAATGTGAACAAAGCATCCTATGCACAGTTCCCTGGGGGCAACCCCACAGGTTATTCAATATGACTTTTTTCTGAGTAAACATCTGTAGGATTCTAGCAAGTGCCTGAAATTCTATAACCACTTACCTAGGCATACATGGATTATGGAATATGCTCCCCAGAGAGGTTCACCTGGCACCAACACTTTTTTCTTTTCGGTGCCAGGCAAACCCCTTTTTATTTTCCTGTTATTTTAATGTTGAATTGGTTTTAATGTGTTTTGTATTATTGTACACATATTATTGCATGCTGTGCCATTTTAATTCCTATTTTACTTGTTTGCTGTAAACTGTCCCGGGCCATCAGTAGAGGGATGGTCTATAAAAGCTATAAATAAATAAATAAATCCCATTAAATTAAATGGACTTATTTATGAGTAGTCCATTTATACTACAATCTGATAAATTTCCCCTTTAAAATGCCCCGTTGCCCTGAAAGATACACCACTCCCCCTCCCCCCCCCTTTTTTTTTACAAGTAGAGTCTAGAAAATGAAAAAGCCCTGCTTGGTTCCGTTTAAGACCATAAGATGACCAGAACTGAACACTGAGCTCACCCTGTTTAGACCCAGTGAAATACAGCTACACTCTTAAGCCCGCTTACCTAGGAGTAAGTCCCACTCTATTCAGTAGGTCTTACTTCTGAATAAACATGCTGTTGGATTACATCCATAGCACTGGTAGGGAGGGAAACCGATGCGGAGCCAGGTTTTGTTGGCGAGCTCAGTCCGCCTCCGCCAGGTGTCCTCCAGATGTTTCCGAGGTCTTCTCCCATCAGCTCCGTCCAGCATGGTCAGGAATGCTGGGAGCTGTAGTGCAAAGCATCAGGCTGGGGAAGGTTGGGCCAGCTCTTAAATCGCTCGCGATTACTGGAAGCCCGTGAGCATCCGATTTATCCCCCTCTCTCAAGCAACAAGTAACGGAGCGAGAGCGAGCGAGCCTAACCGACCCCGCCGCCCGGGTCTCCTTCCCTCTGCGGCTGGGAAGGGGACCCGGGCTTTGCGGCCACTCCCGCTGGTGCCTCGTGGGGGGTCCGCCCCGTGAGTTCCCTTTAAAAAATGTGCTGCCGCTGATAGGAATCGCGCGGCTGTGCCCGACGGGGATGAAAGGGTCTGTCCCCACACGCACGCACTACATGCAAATCTCCCATCTCCAGGAAGTAAGTTGCAGTGGAGACTCCGCAGCAGCTTGTGAAAATCGCGCAAGTTCCTCTCCGCAGAGGAGCTGTACGGCGATGAACGTTTCTGGTTCTCCTTCGGTGGGTTTTCGGTTCCTCTGTTTTTAAGAAAACGGTTCTGCTGCATTCTCGGCCAAGTTCCTGCTGCCGGGCTGGGCGGTTTTCTCCCCCAGCCCTTGGGCTGAAGCAACAGTGGACTTAGCTCGCTGAGATCCAACCTCCTCCCCCGCTCGGGAAAGTAAGTCTCTCTCTCTCTCTCTCTCTCTCTCTCTCTCTCTCGTGCGCGAGCTTTTGTTCGGGAGACTTTGTTCGGTGAACTGGGGAGTAGGACTGGCATTTTTCCTCGTTACGCACGGAATCCTGCCCCGCCTGCTATGCTTTGCTGAACTTTCTTCTCTTCCCACCGAGAATCTATATTGGTGACTAGCCAGATTCGACCTGGCATTTCCCTCACTCGTTGCCTGAGTTGTTGGCTTATGTTTTAACCGGATGGTAAATCCTGTCGACGGTGGAAGCGAAAGCTCTTGGTTGCTCACAATTTTTTCCAGATGGTGGATGCACGTCGTCCACGACCGCGAGGTATTTCAGGATAGTAACAGTGCAATCCTTCGTTTGTCTACTCAGAAGTCAGTCCCACTGAGTTCAGTGGGGCTTACTCCCAGGTGAGTATGAGATTGCAGCAACAGCTAGACAGCCACGCTATGATCGTGGGTGGATTCAGATTCCCACCCACTGTGAAGTTCCGTGGGGTGGCTTTGGACTAGCCTCTTGCTCTGACTCCAGCCCTATCTCGAAAGGCTTTTGCGTGCGTAAGCCAGATAAGTTCATTGTACATCTCTACTGTAGGGCTGAAAAATATTAATGACAGGTCGTAAATATAGCAAGGAAGGTGATTTGTACCAAGTCCTGAAACCTGGTAACTCTCCCTGTCTTTTTAAACGAAAATTAAAGCAGCATAAAGTGAACCATATAGGGCAGTGCATTTTTAGAAAGAGGAAGCATGATGCGAAATGGACAGTTTGTGCATCTGACCTTTACAGGAACTTTTAGCTGAGCAGCAGATAAAATGAATGTTACAGTACATTGGTTAAAAGGAAGTGTTATTTTTACAGTGGGCTCTTTAAGCCCAGGGAGAAGGGGTTTTTATCTTTATTTCCTGCTGATGATTTTTTTAAGGACATTTGACCTTTTGCTCATAAATATTTTCCATGCTTCCTGCTGCTAATGTTTGATGATTCTTTGCTTTAAAATATATTTTGAACCCATCTGGTGTTGATAGGCTACAATCTAATTTTTCTTGTAGGGACTCTGTCTGAAACCCAAATGATACATGTATAGCTCTAGCAGTGATATGTTGTATTACACTCTGTGCAGGAGACCTGTTGTTTGCTAAACAAAAAAGTAATAAAAGCAAAGTTTGTTACTATTTTTCATTGCGTTTTGTCATCACAACATGTGCTAGTGAATATTTTGTTTTTCTTATTACAATGATTTAGTTTGACTGAGTTTAAAAAAACCCCTTTGAGTTGTTCAGTTGATCATGTTTAGTAGCACAATCCTATGCATATGTATTCAGAAGTACATTCCATTGGATTGCAGGGGATTGCAATCTAACTCAAGTCTGGGCTTTGTGTCTTAGAGATGCTCTTTCATTTATTTTCCTTTTGTCCTCCTAATCATTTCTGTAGCAGAGATCCTACACTTAGATTTTCATAAACATTATTTTCATAGAGATCCTACACTTAGATTTTACTACTTATCATTACATCAATAGCTTTCTTAGCTTACCCAGGTGAACAAAAGTTAACAGTTACTCAGAACTGACTGTTAAAGTAAGAGGCTATAAATTCTTGCTAAACAAAGGTTAAATTTTAGTTTTCAAATTGTTTCCTCTAAAAACTACAGCAAAAAATCCAGTTCCTGTTTGTTTTTCAGAAGGGAAACAACTGATAACAGTTGATGTTATCACTCGCATTCTTTTGAAGAACTGATATCTTGGGGAGAGAGCTGAAGTGCTTCCTTTGATAATTACAGGCTACCCATCCTCCAGAACTGTTTACATAGGGAGCTCAGCCCAAGAGTGGTCAGCTCTGCACCTGCTTAGGTAGTTCATTGCTACATTATTGCCACATCATTGGATGATTCCAGACCATTTTGTGACACATCAACTAGTTTAGCCTTTGGCTAAATAAGTGTGATACTAGCATACAGTCTGAAAGTCAAGTTCTGAGGTAAAGCAAAATGCAAGCAGCCCCTATCCACTAGGAGCTATTCTGGAGAGCTGTACAGGAAGAGAGACAACACAGTAAGTGGGCGCAGTGAGTGGTGCCAAAAGGCCAGAATAGGTTAGTTACTGGCAGTTACATGTTCCACTATGCCTTGGGAGGGTTGGTTAAATTTAGAGAATTGAGAGAGGGAAAGATCTTTCAGAACCCAGGGAGTCACCAAATAATTGGTGAAAGGGGGGCATTGACATCTGGGACTTTCCAGGGAAGCCCAGATTGGGCCCTGAGGCCTGGGATTTGGCCCCTGCCTTAAGAGACTTGAGCTGGAGGAGCTCATGGGAAGATGGATGTTTGGTGGTTGTGCATATACACAGGCATGTACACATGCATACAGAGGAAAGCATGTGTGTCAGAGCCCCAGTAGCAACTGATGCTGTGGCTCACATGTGTGTCTTCTGAGCCATAACTGCACATAAGCAGGGCTTTCACACATGACCAGTCCCGAACATTGTAAGCACATAAACTGCATTTATGCAGTTTGATTATAGTAAGAACACTGTTACATTTCTTGAGGATGCTGTGGTGTAGGAGCGGGTATAAGGTGTGGGTGGGGCAAGGGTGAAAGGGCCTTTGTGGATGGATTTTATTTTATTGCTGTGATTATTTACTGCACAGCTGTATGCATTTTAACTTCTGTACTGTTATATTGTTTGTTTTGATGTAAACCTCTTTGAGAGCTTTGTTAGTGTGGATAGTATACAGAAGCAGTAAATAATAATATCTTTAACTTTCTGCCAAATGATTGTTTGTACCTGTAGATTGCTTTAAAATACCAATTGCAGCCTTGCCTTTTAACATGATTTGAAATATACTGTTTTAGTTTTAATAAATAATTGCAAAGTGCTTTTGTTTTACTTAAGCTGAATGTAGATTGGAAATTAGCATGTTATTCCAGTTTTAATACATTCATAATTGGTAGTGGCAAAGCTTCATCAGAAGTTGGGCAATGTCACAGAAGATTTCATTTCTGAAAGTGTGCATTATGAAATCACAGGATGCTATCAAAATGTATGGATCTAATGATTGCCAAGACAGGGAAACAATAACAAGCAACAGACCATGTTTTAATAGAATAGATTTCTTTTGCTGGGAAACAGTTAAGGGGCCGTGTATAGGAGATGGTACACTGGGCTTGAGCAACTTGTGGCCATCTCACCAGTTTTGGGTGACAACTCTCATGATCCCTCAGCATTGGCTATGCCTACTAGGGGTGATGTGAAGGTTTCAGGCTGCAGCTCCCAAGCTGTCAAGTCCCTGCTTTAGATAGAGGGAGTATGCTCTCTCTGAATAAACATCAGCATTTATTTTAAGAGTTGCATGGAGTACTGGAAATGCTAACTAAGTTTCCAGTTATCTTTACAAATGAAGGAATTCATTAAGGTGTCTATTGGTGAAACTTTGGACTTAGAATCTTTCACTAATTGGCTCTGCTTCTTGATTATCTTACTTCTGTGGACAGCTTCCTCCCCTATTCAGTGGACAGACACTTGAGATGTCTCCATACTAAAAGTAGTCTGCATCATCGCAGCTAAGATGGCTTCCCTAAAGACAAGACAAGTCATTATGCCACATATATATTAAATGTGGGCCTGCACTGAAAGAGAAACTCTGCCACTCTTGAGAAGATATCACCCAGAAGAGGTGCAGGGTTTTACTAAGCCAAGGATTCTTTGGTGCTCTTCTATTCCTTGGGAATGAGTAGAAGGATGTATATTGAGGATCACCAAATGCTGAGGAGACAGCTTTCTGGTGCTTTTAATAGCTGTACAGGAGATTAAGGTTTGGGAAGTACAGCTCCTCTCACCTTACATCTGTTTATATACTTCTGTATGCCTCTAATACATTTCTTCGGGGGCAATCTTATGCCTGTTTAGACAGGAAAAAGCATGACTGCCTGGAGCTCAAGGTCTTCTTTGTCTCTAAACATGCACAGGATTACATCTTCAGCTACCTTTCAAGACTGCTAACTTCCCAAGGCAGCATACAGTATAAAGCATGATCAGTTCACCTGCCAGCTTCCTCTGTCTTTGTCTGCATCTGGCTGACCTTGCAGCTACTAGTTGCTCACTTTCCCTGCACTGGTACATGTACAGCTATCCTATGGGGCTGCCCATAACCCTCTGAAATCAGATAGTTACTGAGTGTGGAAGAATGGGGAAGCAAGGGTTCCTCTATTTTGCAAAAGACATAGTTGATTTTGGCCATCTAGGCCTTTTTCTCCTGCTCATGTGGAAGAGGAGATAAGGCACCACCTGGAATCTTAGTAAGCTGGTGATGCCTCCTCTCCATCATCTGGAATGTTCCACTTTGCCAGTGCCTACTCCAAAGATGGTCTTCTGGCTGCAGTTGGCATGGAAAGCGCTGCATGGACTATAAGGATACAGGGAGGGCCCTCTGAGTATTGAGACCCTGCTATGACCTCAAAGGGTTCTTACAAAGTTGCAGTGGGGACTCCAACTTTTCCTGTGGGCTACCAGGCAGTATCTACTAGCTATAGGATTGCTCCTTAAGACTGCAAACATACACTTACGGTACCCTCCCCTGAAAACAGGGAAACTTGCTTCAGACTGACTTACATGTACAGGATGGTGCCATTTCAAGCTGACTTTGTAGTGGAATGGGCCCCAGCTACTGAGACTGCCACCAAAATTTGTATTTTCTTGGATAAATTTGTCCAGCATATGATGTTTGGTCCATTTGGAATTATGTGCCAATGTATCCAAAAAGTTCTTCAGTTCTGAATGTGAAATAAAATTTTAAACACGTATGGCCTGAGGCCAGTAGACTAGCCATCCCAAACAACATACTTCTAGTTGAATGCACAGTTCTTTAATATTAACCACTTAATATCAATCACTTATTCTTGATTAACCTTGCAATGATTGCTGTGAATTATTTGTCTAAGCTGCCTGTCTTCTCTCTGATGAATATGTTCTCAATTTCGATTACTTCC